TATTTATTTTTTATTTTATTTAATCATATAAAAATGTCGTATATGTGAGCAGAATATAGAGAAGGAGGGTAGCTAAGGTGTAAACACTGAGTTTAAGTTGCCGACCCAGTTTATTGTTCCAAACTATTCGATGAGAGAATCTGACTTTACAAACGTAATCATGACCCATTGGAATAATCATTGGTATTTTTCTCGTCAGTGGTTTTTATTGTAGGATTTTATCTCACTGGTTAAGAAGGTATTTCACACTTAAGTGTTCTGTCACAACTCAGCTTACATTCATTCATTATTCAAGGCACATGTGACACCTGAGAGAAGCTGCTGCTGTTGCAGTTGGCCTCAGCTGGGTTTATAGAAGCTCAGTGTGTGTGTGTGACTGCTGTAAGAGCTGCATGTTTAAGGTCTGATATTCAACTCTGATTTGACCCTTGAACATCAAAACCTGGTGGCAGCTTTGAAAGCCATGTTATCCTTCAAAAATAGTCAAAATCACACCATTTATCAAAACTAGGAACTGTAAAAAGAGAAAAAATGTTTAGATTTTCAACTTTTTAGATGGTGCTTGAACTAGTCTTTGTGTGACATGTAGTTTAATTTGGAAAACTTGACCAAATCTAAGCTTAAAATGGGTATATTTTTATTCAAACCACTTAATTCCTCATGTCTCAATTAAGAATTTGCCAAAAGTGACAACCAAGAGTCGGGTGACTAAAGTTCAGAGGCTTGTCAGCTGAACTGCAGGCTGTTTATTTCTTTCAATTCAATTTTCATTATATAGCAAAATTTACAACATACAGTTGTCCTCAGATTTATTCATACCCTCCCATTAAAGAAGGAAAAAACACATTTTGGCCCACTGCTCATCAGCAAAGTGCTCTAATTTGTCCAGGACAGTTTTTTTTTTTTTTTTTTTTTATTCTTTTCAACCACAATTCAAAAGCAACGTTATTTCGCTAAAGTATAATTTAGCAAATTTTTATTTATTATTACTTTTTGCAGTTTCTAGTTATTTGAGTGACTGTTGTGAATTTTGCATTTTCTTTAATAGAAGGGTATGAATAAATCTCATAGGGCTTTACAAAGAGGAGACAGAAGACAAGGATGGAAACAAACTAAAAATGCAAATATTAAAAGATCTGTTGTGTGTAAAGCGCTATAACACTTGTGGGCACTCGGAAAAACGTACATGTACTTTCCTTTTTTCTCCATTTTTGTAAAATAGATTACAAAACACATAATTTTGATCCTTTTTTTAACATAATTTATGCTAATATAAGCCCTGCTACATCGCACAGAAGACATTTTGAGTTCTCTCTACTTCTAGTTATGGTTGAACTCTTTCCATGGAGGTGCAGGATTTTATTTTGTTGTGAAAAATGAGCCCACAAAGAGTAAAAAATGTGACAGGAGCAAAACCAGCAAGGATCTGCTCGGTGTTCAGAGGGTTAAACTACTGTCTTTCCCTTCCCTCTGATCTGCCTGCCTGCCTCAGTCTGACCCGTCCTCCAGCTTCCTTTATTATTCCTCTTATTAACAATCCTCACTCCCTCCTGCGCTCCAACTTTCACGGTTTTCCCCGGAGTTATTTTTATGGCCACATTTCCTCAGATAGAACCACTTCTCCTCTCAGCTTTATCCCTTATTTGGAGAAATCTCTGAAATGTATTTGCTTGATAAATATAGACACAAAAGTCCAAGCTGTGCGCCGCTGCTTTCTAAATGCCATGTGCGACAACAAATACTGTTGCTATGGTTGTGTTTAGAGAGAAATGGGTTTTTGTCATTATGGAACCCACAGGTCTACAGGAAAGATTGGATTCTGTGTTGAGCAGAAGGGTCAGAATGATGCTGGTGAAGTCAAATAAACAGATGCATGAGCAGGAAAAATAGCAGAATCCACCCAGCACCTGGAGCTTCTCTCTAATGAACACTGTTGGTTCTGCTTCTCCTTTCAGGTGGAGGCGTACGACACGGATGAGCTGAACTTCCACGGCGGGGTGCGGGTGTCGTTCGGCATGCAGATGATGGGGGCGGCGGCGCGAATCGAGAGGGAGATCCCATCCATCAGCTGGCCCTTCCTGCTCATCCACGGAGATGCCGACAAGCTCTGCGACATCCGAGGCTCCAACATGATGTATGAGAACGCCTCGAGCTCGGACAAGAAAATCAAGGTTTGTTAACGGTTGCTTACAGCTGACTGGCTGTGGTTTTAGATTTTGGCTGAAATCATCCACACATTTCCTCCTCCCTATCTATGGACTACGTATATATTCAACTATATAGGAAGCTCCAATCATTCTCTGTGCTGTTAATTACATCACAGCTGTCAGATAGATTTACGTTGTTGAACCGACCGGCATTTTTGTGAGAAATTCATGTTATACTAATCCATCCATTTTAAAAATTCCATCCATCCATCATCTATACACCGCTTAATCCTCACTAGGGTCATGGGGGGCTGGAGTCTATCCCAGCGGACTCAGGTTGAAGGCAGGTTCACCTGGACAGGTCACCAGTCTATCACAGGGCTACACTTAGAGACAGACAACCAAGCACACTCACATTCACACCTGCGGACAATTTAGAATCACCAATTAACCTCAGCATGTTTCTGGACTGTGGGAGGAAGCCGGAGAACCCGGAGAGAACCCACGCTGTATGGGGAGAACATGGAGACTCCATGCAGAGTCCTCACCGGGACGAGAACCAGCAACCTTCTTGCTGCGAGGCAACGAAGTTAACCACCGAGCCACCTTGCATGAAACTATGAAACATATTAATACGAATTATTATTTTTAATTTTATTATTTTTGCAACCTAACTTATGGATTTGCCTGTTATCATGTCAAAGAGCTACACATAAAAATAAAAAGACATGTTCTGTGGAAAATACATCTTAACACTCGAAAGTAGGCGTCACAAATCTGTGGAAATGCCACCAATCCTCAGTTGGTTCTCTCATCTGGCTGCCGTTCTCCTTCAATGCAATGCATGATGGTACGTCATGTGCTGCTTAGTGACTGGTTAGTTAGTCATTGTGGGACACTTTGAGTTCACTATATATGCAGTCTAACAGCTGTAACTACAGACAGCACTACAAAATGACTGTTTTCTTTTTGTTATTGTTACTGACTTTCAGTTCTTTATTTGTGTTCGATGTGTTTGGTTTTCTTATCAACAGGGCTGCCTGTTCAAGTCCAACCACACTGAGATGAACTTGTGACCAAAGTGAAAGTGACACATTATTGTACATTAGGAAACAATGCTGCCTGTCACATTAGTGACTTGTGACATTTATAAAAGCGGCAATTGTGTTATTTATGTGGAACGCTGCTGAAGGTCAACAACGCTTTTGCTTTTGTTGTTGACTGACACAGAAACTGCAACATCAAGTGGGGTCTGCATGTTTACCCTCACCTCTGATATCTGCAACACAGTTTAATACGCTCTGGATTCACTGTCAACAACACAGCATATAGAGCATATACATAACACAGTGAATCCTGGCTTATATGCAGATACAGCCCTTCAGCTTACACCTACTTTAGGCCTCTTTATGACAGACAGACAGGAGGCCGTCTGAACTTAATAAACCCTTCCTCGTCTGCAGAATGTGCATTTGTAAAGAGGGAAGTTCTTATCATGTGGTTCATCGCATGGGGGTTTAGCAGAGGACAGAAAAGCAGATGAGGCTCACGTACTGATTTTCAGAGTAGATTACAAGTGTTTTCCAAATCAGAACAAGCAGTACGAGGAAGTCCTTTGACCCCAGAAAAGTATTTGTTAGTATGTCTCTGTAGGTTTAGTCAAACAGGATGGATTTGTTTCAAGTTTGACTCGTGAAACCGCAGAATGCAGTTTGTGCAAAAGAGGCCAGGACTGACGTTGTGTTTGGTTGTTTCCAGATGGCTAAGATGTCAAAATGTCAACGTGAATCTTGGTCTACATCCCCCAGGTCTACGAAGGAGGCTACCACGCTCTTCACCACGACCTCCCCGAGGTGGCCGAGTCCGTGCTGAAGGACGTGACCGGCTGGATCACGGAGCGCCTCCCAGCTACCACGTCTCAGCAACAGCAAGGCTCGTAGATCTGTACCTCGCACCACTCGGTCAGGAAGCTGTCCCACGAGGCCTGCGCACTTCTACTAATGCTACTGCACTCTCCAGTCTGGGAGATACGTTTGGGCATCATCTTCTCTTTACAAAAAGTTTATCAACTTTATCTTCTGGGTGAATACTGTACAAAAAGACTACCCGCCCTCTCCTGTGTACCGACCAATCAGACCGCTGGTTTAAATTGTAGTTATTGTAGATACTCGGCAGCAGTGGTCAGTGTCTCCGGTGTGTAAATTAAAATCAGGGATGCGCCTCATCCTGCAGCTCGTGTAAAGTTGAAGTCACAATATGCTAGAGTTCAAAGTGCAATAATGACGTTTTTATGTCCTCGCTCATACAAACAGCTCAGATCCCTTAAGTACTAATGACAGAAGTAATATAATACAAGGAGCATTTCCTTCTTGCTCCTCAGCCATTCACAGGAAGGTCAGAGGTCAGGAACTGCCACAGAGCAGCCCCCTCTGGAGCTGCTGGGTGAATCTTAATGTTTAGCTAAGCTCCTCTCCTCTGCCTCTCCTGCCTCCTCCTCCTCCTCCTCCTTGATTGCACTGTTTTACAAATACCACTGTTTTTTTGATGCAGGCAGCTCTTATAGAGTCTCTCAGAAGCTCTGTGCATACAGCAGATCCTCCTGACTTCCTCCGTGCATCTCTTTTGTTTGGTCTGACAGATGGTTGGCCTGAAGACAGATGGTTGGCACCGATACACTATGTGAACATGATCGCAGTCCGTCTAAATCCAGCCTGAGGTCTAGTTTCAGATCTAGTCCTAACAATAATTATTGTTTAGAAGTAAACTGTGCAACGGCGAAATATTTTTAGGTAATATTTAATACAGGGTTTATTGATTTTCTGCGAGAACTTCTGAACCGCCTGCATTTATTTTAACCTCTAGACACAATAACTTTCCCTACGAGTGCTGTAGCCAGGTTTAGAGTGTAGAGTAAGAGGCAGATTAATCAGGTGACGCCGCTCTGACTCTCTGCAGGTGGGAAGTAGAGTGAAAGGTCAGGCGGTGACCTTTGACATTTAAGGCTACAGTTGACTTCGCTGTTGGCGTTTGGAGCCACACATTCGTAAAGACTGCAAACTACAGAGCGAGAAGGAAACATTGCTGTCACTGTGGACAAAAGAGCAAATCATCACTTAGCATGTGCTTTTTTACCCTATGCTTGTCTGCTATGTGTTCAAAGTAAACACAGCCTGCATTTCAGCCGAAAAGTCCCAGAATTTTTGCGAGCTGAGTCACTAATTGCTTCTCTGTTGCACTCAGAGGCGCAGAATTGTTTTTTTTTTTAAATAGAATTGGGTTAAATCAAATGATTTTTGGGTGGATTTTCAAAACAGGCATATAGAATAAAGAGATTTTGATGAAATATCACAATTTTGAGCTTAGATTTGCTTTATTTTCCAGAAGTCACATATTATCAGTTCAAGAATCATCACTAAGTTTAAAACCTCACAAATTCTTTCTGTTTTTACAGTTTGTAGCTCTAAATGGTGGCGCCATTTTAGCTTCTTTTTTCTTTTTTTTTTAATTTTATAAATGTAACATGATTTTAAAACCGATTTTGAGGCACATTTAGGTCAATATGCTTCTAAATAATCAGTGATTTTGTATTTCTCTATCATAGTATTTTTCCTGGCAGGTGCAGAAAGCTTTGAAACAGAAGCTACACCCTCATTTTGGGTAATTATAATTATTGAAGATATAAAAAGTAGACAGGCACTGATAGTTTTGTAATCTTCTAAATCCCACCTGCAGAAGGCTCGCACCTTGATTATTTTTTTAATGCTCTGAAATTATGAACCTTCTCAAAGTACTGAAGTCAGATCTGGCTTCAAACAGCCGAACCACAGCAATAATGTCACGTTACGTCCTCGGTAGCTCGTTAATTATAAGCTAGACGGGCAAACCCTGGTCTCACCGCTTTATATCGTCAGGTAGACTGCAATTAGCCCTCTAGCTAAGCATCCTCCACCTATTGAAGCCTGAGACGGTTTCAGCAGGTCAAGATTTTCACATTTGCGCCACCTTTAGTGTCAAACATAAAAAAAGGATCATTGCATAATTGTTGAATCTGGAGCCAAACAGCAGACGTTCTTACGACTGTTTGGCTTCATGCACGTCCTGTAGAAGATACATGCAGCTCTCGGATAGAGATTCAACTGTGTCACCGCGGCGGCTTCTTCTTTTTTTTCTCTCTCTCGCTCTCTTTATCACTCAGAGTTCAAAGAGACTCATGCAGAGAGTGTCAGGGAAGCTCAGTGTGGTATCCACGGTGACCGTTACTCATGTGTAACCACGGCAGCAGTCTGACAGCGGGGTAGAATTTTTTTTATTTTTTTTAATTCCATTTTACATGTGTTGTCACCAGGGTGAACATCACAAGGCCCGATAGAATGAGACGAACGCCTGGCCTCGTGCCTTCTGCTCTGTCCGTCTGTCTTCATAACTTCTCTCCCTGCTCGTCTCATCCCCGTGTCACCCAGTTTCACCACTTTCTGGGGATTTGGGGTGTTTTGTTTTTTCAGCTGTGTGTGGCCAGTGTGCTTTGTTCCGTCCTTCACACAGGCCCTTGTTTGACTGCACATTCAGGCGTGTTGCGCTGTCCCTAGTGGTGAGTTATTAGAACAGCAGGTTACATGATATAGTGCCAGAATGTAACTTGGATCTGGATTAGAGCTACTTATTGGTCCGTCACTGAGTCTACTGAGCTCACTGCTGTTTCTTTTTGACAGAGAGTGACTGAAAATTGTTCACCTTCAGGTTCTGATGTGTTTTTGTTTTTATAGTCTTGATGTTTCCAGATTGACTTTAGTCAGTTTCATTTGGAAAATCACAATAATTCATTGTGATCAGCAGGAAAAGGACACACAGTTCAGAGCACTTTGCATAATTTATCATTTATATTAGCTCTCTGGAACCCAGGCTGTTGGTTTCAGGACGTTTTATTTGCTCCGGTCACATTTTGACTCACTGTGGGCTCATTTTTCACTGCAGTAGAACCTCTGTGGAAACAGCACAGTGATGACTAGAAGTAAAAGGAGCTCTTTCATCCAGTATGATAGAGTTTAACTGACATAAAAATAAAATTGTCACATTTCTTTGATTACGTATTCATCCACCTATTGAAGCCTGAGACAGTTTCAGCAGGTCAAGATTTTCGCATTTGCACCACCTTTAGGGTCAAACATAAAAAAGGATCAAGCATTTGCATAATTGTTGAATCTGGAGCCAAACAGCAGACGTTCTTACGACTGTTTGGCTTCATGCACGACCTGTAAAGGATACATGCAGCGTACATGCAGCTACTATTACGTATTTTGCAAAAATGGAAAAACCCTCCCCTGTACATTTGCCCACAGGTGTTGCTCCACATATTATTGATATTTTACTATTTATATTTTTTCATTTCTTCCATACGTGTCTCCTTTCAGCTCTGTGTAAACACAGCCTGCAGTTCCACCAGAAACTCCTTGAATTCTTGTCTGGTGCTTGTTGGTCACAGCTGAGTCCCAAACAGAGTTTTTTGGGTTTTACTGAATCGACAAATGATTTCTTTCCGACAGGTTTTTGAATGAGACAGTTACGACTTTCAGCTTAGATTTGGTGGAGTTTCTCAATAGAGCCACACTGGGTTGAGAAATTATATTTGTTAAAGCTGAAAATCCAACTATTCCTTCTGGTTTCTGGCTCTAAGTGGTGTGATGTTATTGCTTTTACAAAATGCCTTTCAAACCTGTCGGCAGGTTTTGGGTTTCAGATGGTTAAACACACAAAAAGGGAGACAGAGTAGTTTCAAAGCAAACAAATAAAGCGAGAGAATAAATAGAGGGAACTTCAGGATGTTAGCGCATCCTCTTCTGTATTTTCAAAATGTTTCAGCAGAGCAAATATTAGCGTTCACGGCCATGAGTGCTGACACAGATGGGGATGTAATGTATTCATCAGTCCCAGTGGGAGTCAGACCCTTAACCTCATCCAGAACTACAGGGGTTTTTGTCACAAGCACTTCAAACACAATCTCCTCCTGATTAGGCTGCGGCGGGCGCGGCGCACATAAAGGCTACACAGTCCCAGTTGTATTCAAACCGTAATAGCTCTCCTGCCGCACCGCGTCGGCACAATGGCTTCAGCCTCGCAGGATTCTCCCCGACGCTCAAATTCAAAAGCTCTACCTGTCAGACTGCATGAGTGCATATTACTGTCATTAGCTATAGGGGTGGAGAGAGGTGGAGATGCAGCGAGAGGAAAAAGAGAAGCTGTCAGTAACCATGGCAGCACTTTTTTTTTCTTTTTTTTTTTAATTTTTCAGTGAAATCACCCAGAGAAAAAAATGTGTATTCATGAATGCTACAGGAAGTACGCCAGACGTTTTCCTCGCTTTCATGGCCGGTTGTCCATTTGCTGCTGCTCGGAGGATTCCCTTTTGTGTGAGAGACTGAGATAAGAGCAAATAATTAGCATCTTCACACAGCAGTGAATAACAGGAGCTGCACACACTCCATTCAGAACTGTCTGGTTTGCTGTGTGCATTAAAAACGTGCTGTTTCCATCCGAGCAAAGAGGCAGAATATTCCTCTTTTTCTTGTGAAAATGGCTGAAAACCTGTGTACTTTTGCCCACATCCATTCCATGTTGCGATTTAGAAGTAGTGGATGAAGTTCTTTGAGTGAAATGAAAGAGGACTTCACCACTTTTTGTTGCTAGATGTCATTCCTACTCACCTTCACGGTGTGCAATCCCTTTTCCACTGGCATGTATTGTTATAAAGCACCAACTGTGTGCAGGTTTGCCATAGTGAGAGATAGCCATGTACAAAAACCTCGCTCTGTTAGTATCTAATAATCCACTCGACTGTTAATATCCTAAAATAACAAGCAGGAATCTGTTGAATCAAATTGCCACTTTTGTGAAAGAAAACTTGATTGGCCTGCTGGTTTGTCAATGGAGCTGTTTTGTTTTTGTTGTTTTGCTTCTTTTTAATCTTGACTTTATGACTGTTTCTAAGGAAAGAACTGTTATCCGATGGCGTCGAAGGGGGCACAGGCCAGTCTTTCTGTACTTTTATGAGATTAAAATGCACTGGAAAGTGTCCAGAGTCAGCAAGAATTGAAGAGGTCTTCTCCAAAATGCTGTAAGTGCAGGAAAACATACATTAAGTTCGTCGTTATATCTTCAAATTACAAAGTTCAACCAATTCCCCTGAAGTTTTAAAGGCTTCATTTTCAAATGATTAATATTGCATTTTGGAACAAAACCCCGATTCAAATCTTGCTGTTTTTGAGCAGCAGTGTTGACTGATTAGATGTTAATCTGGTGGCCACACTGCTGGATTGCTGAATATAATTGTAAAACACTGTATAATAACATAATAGCATCGCTAACAATTCTTGTCAGAAATACAGAATCAAGACTTGCATTTTATTTGACATATCTTTTATTTATCTTCTCTGGAGTATTTATAGAGATTAATTTTATGTAGAGGCACCTATATATTGATTACACATCATGACAAAGGCACTTTTTATACAATAACCCCATGATGTGAGGTTTCATGACACTTTCTAAGATGGAAACTGGTTCCAGGTTGTTGTTTTTTTTAATCAGAAAAACAATGTTTCCGGTAAGATTTTGCATCGAGAGATTTTTACTGTTGTGTGTTGACGTCTCATTATGAAAGCTCGTTGTGGTTTGTTGCAGAACTTAAAACATCAGATTCTAAATTTTGTTTTCAGGAATTTGCCGTCACTTTAATGACGACGGATCTCTTCTTAAATAACATAAGATTCAGTAATAATGACTGAGAGACTTCATGTAACTCCCTTCATTCATAAAACCTCTTGTTATGCCGCAGATCAAATTTTTAAGGACTAATTTGCAGGTATCAGGTTTTCTCTATGAAACAAAAAGTCTCTGAATCGTTTTAAAAAATACTGATGTGTTGTACGTTTATTCCTTCATTGTGCTCTGGTGTTGTTTGTGCCTTATTACTGTGTACCTGAGCCTTTGTGCTCCTGTGTGAGTCCACGAGTGTGTTCGGAAGTACGGAGAGCTGATCTGTTTATCTGTTACTTTGGTTCTCTGGCTGTCTGTTGTCACATCTGTTTCTGGTTCAGTAATTGCACCGGTCTGCTCGTCTTCCTCCTGTCTGTCTCTTTCCATTTGTCTGTCTGAAGTCCTGTCCAATCAGGGGTCTTGGCACATTTAGCTAAAAAAAAACAGTTTCTGAATGTTGAGCTCCGGCTCATAAATACCTCCCAGCTCATTTAAACACCTGTTTGTTGTGTTTGAGACGTACAGAGAAACACAACACTAAAGACTTTTAGCCTTCTCTGGTCGCTGTAGTGGCAAAATGACTGTACAGGGTGTTGAAATCATCTGTTAGCTCCCGCTGGCTCCCAGCAAGAAACAGGAGGCTCAGGTCATCACATAGGATTTGTAAAACAACCAGAACCAGATGTGGTTCTGTCTGCATTGTTTCAGACTTTCTGTGTCGCCGCAGAAATGTTCAATAAACCTCTACAGCACGCTATAAATTCAGATTCAAGGTGGAGACTATAGAAAAACTACACCCAACAGCTGAAATATTCATATTGCGTGTCTTTGGCAGATAAAACTTCACAAAGGTTTATGTCATTATTTGTTATAATGTTCATGAATATGTCTTGTCACAGTTACTGGTTTAAGGTTTATGTCTTCATCGTCTGAGGACATTTCGAAATGTGTTTCCAGGAAACTCAGCAAAGTGATGTGAAACCTACAAAAGATAAAGTGTGAATTGTTGTCAGTAAAAGTGACGGAGTGAAGAACAAACCCTATAACGTGATGACACACAGCATCAAACCAGACCGATGTGGAGCTGATGACCCACAAAAGTTTATTTTGCAGCATCACATTCTTGAGTCTTCCTTGTAAAGTTCTGTGTGATTTTAACAGTTTACTAACGACTGGATGACGTTGTATTTGAACAGTCCAGCGCCGGTGTTCATCTAACAAGTCACGATTTTAGTCTGCAACAGAATTTAACTCAAATTCAGATATGAAACCTTTTCACTGATGCGTCATCGTCCCCGTAAAGGTTGAGTACCAGCATTTGACAATTCACTTAACGTGTGACACAATGTTGTAAATAATATGTACATAAGATGTAATAATGGAATTCTGAATTGCTGAATGTCAAATTACTTGTTACTAGACTGTTCATAATGTCCATACTCTCTTACAGAATAAACTACATGAATGTTTAACTGTGCAGGCTGACTTCTTTCCATGTTTGAA